TGTATCTTACTAGTGAGGAGAGAAAGGAGAATGGCATTCTGATGAAAGAAACCTGTCCACAGTGATGATTTCTCTAAGGGCCTATTTTCATTGTCAGAAGATCCAAGAGACAAATTATGTTGCGAGGGCACAGAATTAATCTTTCTCTGAACAACAACCAGAACAAAAATGCAATTAAAAATATATAGATTTACACCTGGAAGTCAATCTGTTCAAAAGGATGCGGTTCCTCTGAGTGTCAGGTGAGTAGGGACTCACGCACGAATTAAACAATCTTCCTGCTTACAAGAGCTGTGGAAGTTGGATTTGATTTCAGGTCAGAGTTGCTGGTCACTCAGAGGTGGCCTAGCTCTGTGCTGCGGGAAGGGCAAATTAATTCTGGTGAGCAAAAAATAGAAGTGGAGATGTTCCTGTTCTTCCCCATTTTGTCGCAATTTTATAAATTCTCTGTTTTGCTGTAATATCCATCATCAATTCTGCTTTTTCATGGCTGATACTGGGTCAGAGGCATCAGACAACTGTCCCTATGGCTCAGGTCCCTTCCTCTCTCTCTCTCTCTCCCTCTTTTCCTTCTTCCTTCTTTTTTTTCTTCTTCTTCCTTTTTTTTTTTTTTTTTTTTTTTTTTTTTTTTTTTTTTTTTTTTTTTTCTTTCTTTCTTTCTTTCTTTTTTATCTAAATAAGTCCCTATCATTATCTTAGTGCTTGAATGAAAGGTTAAAAAACAAAATATAGAGGGCAACAGTCCCTTCCCTCCAATTGTTAATGTCTACATGTAATTTTCTGGGGAAATAGATTAAAAAGAATGTGTAATTTTTGGAAATCAGCTATTCAGTGGTAAATATAAGGCATGATTCTTCTTGTCACATAAGTATAAGGATTTTTAAAAATTACCTAGAAAGAAAACTAAAATAAGGAAAGCAGTGAGTGCTCTCTCTTGGAGATTCCTATCACTATCACATCTGGGTTATCTGGGACTCCTTGACAAGGTTTTATTCATGTTGGGTGTATATTATCATTGTTGTGTAATAAACTAGCTTAAGACTATCATCTTCAAATAGCAGACATTTATTATATCCGAGATTCTGTGGGTCAGAAACCAAGAAGTGGCTTAGCTGGTGGTTCTGTCTCGGAGTCTGTCCTGGGGTTGTTGTGAAGCTATTGGCTAGGACCATAGTCACCTCAAGTGTCAACCGTGGGAGTATCTATTTCCACACTCATTCACGCAGTTGCTGGCTCTTCGCAGAATGGGCAGTTAGCAGTGGCTGTAGCCAGGCTGGCCTTGCTGAGTGGAAGTCCATGTTTCTGAGCCCATGCATAACCTCCATCCTTGCCTCCACTGCCTCTTTGTGAACCAACTGGGCAATGACAGGAATGGCAGGGAAGGAGGCTGACTAGCCTCCACAGACTGGCCATCCAACCCACCTGAATATTATAATCCTTCCCTGAAGTCTCTTTTCTCATGAGGGACACAAATATCTTTACACTCTACTCATTTGAACATATCTCTCTACATACTTCTTTCCTAGACTTCCTAGCCACCAATTTTCTAGTTGTGTTTCTTTCAAGTGTCTGACCATCCCACCAAACAATTTATGAGCCACAGCTCATATGGACATCTCTCTTTCTTGAAAAGTGAACAATCTGGTGCACTGCTTGAAGTTCAGCCCACTGGAAGAACCTCCCTTCACCTTCTGGGTTCTTCCAGATTGGGACTGTAATATTGCAACCCTCCACTTTGGTTGGTAACTGCATGTTGCACAGAACTACGTGTAATCCAAGCCTTATATTTTTTTCTTCAATCAAATGATTGTAGAGAACTCCCTAAGAAGCCATAGATATTTGTGTGTGTGTGTGTGTGTGTGTGTGTGTGTGTGTGAGAGAGAGAGAGAGAGAGACAGAGAGAGAGAGAGAGAAAGAAAGAATATAATGTATCATGATTGGGATCATTTCTTGTCAGACTTGTGTCTAAAGACCTGCTTAAGCCTGACCTCATAGTGCTGCTGTGCATGCCCATCTCTATAGCTGGGTGAGTTAGAACACACCCAGTTCATAATTAATGTTTAATGTTAATGGCAGTTCAGGTTTAATGTTAACTTGATATCCTATGGACAAATATTCAGTCTCTACCAATGCCCAGCAGCAAACCAAATGCTATTTCTCAAGATGAGTGTAATTATCTTCAGAGGTTGGAATAACTTTGCTCCAAAATCCTAAGCATCTTCACTATAATTTGTGTATAGGGGCCTGCCAAATGCTTCAAACAGCATCCTTATGGGCCACTACCACTTCAAGCACCACCAGATCTGCTGAGTTATACAGGCCATGTAGCAGAGCACCTTGCATGGCAGCCTGGGCCTGTTGCAGACCCTCTCTCATTTTAAGCACCACTAAAAACTAGCAGCTCCTATGGATCACTTAGTAAGTGGGTTGAGGTATACATTGCCCCTCAAATCAAAAGAGGGCTACTAGGTGTTGTACTTCTTTCTTACTGGCAGGGAGGACCAGGTACAGTAATTGTCTTTCTCTTGGAAAGGCTATCTCAACATTCCCCAGACAAGTGGGCCTCTAGAAATTTAATTGAGGTGGCAGGCCTGGAATTGTTGTGGAATTTATTTTCTATTCTTTGGTATTTTAGTATCTTATCAATGTATCTAGAGTAGTTGCTATTCCCTGATCACCAGGACCAATCAACATCACATCATCAATTTCATGGACATCCTGTGGAGGGGAAAGGAAGTCAAGGTCCCTGCAAACTTGATCATGACATAGGGCTGGAGAGTTGATATACCACTAAAGTAGGTCAGTAGGGATATTTTGCCAGTCTTCCTAGCTGGAAGCAAACTGCCTCTGATGGTCTTTACTAATAAATCTAGAAAAAAAAATAATTTCCCAAAGAAATTCCTGCATAACAAGTACCACCGGATGTGTTTCCAAATGAAACCACGTTTGGAAGAACACCTGCAATTGGAGTCCCCACCTAATTACGCTTATCGTAGTTCACTGTCATTCTCCAAGACCTGCCTTCTTCAGAAGCCAAACAGGCAAACTGAATAGGGATGTGTTAGGAGTTGGGAATAAGCACCCCTGCGTCTTTCAAGTCCTTGATAATGGCACTAATCTTTGCAATTTTACAAGAATGGTATTGCTTTTGGTTTACTATTTTCCTAGGTAAAGACAGTTCTAGTGGCTTCCGCTGGACTTTCCTACAGTACTAAGCCTCATTCCATGGTCAGGGAACCCATGTGGATATTCTTCCAGTTTGTGAGCCTATCTATTCCAATTACACCTTCTTAAAATGGTATAAAAACCATACATCGTGTTTAGACTCACTGGGCCTACTATAACAGACCTGAGCCAAAACTCCATTGATCTCATTCACCTGACCTCCACAAGCTTCTTTTGTTCTGATGTGATAGAGAAGTGACACTTAGGTTTCCAGGAATTGGTGACAGTTTAGAGTCAGTGTCTGGTAAACCCGTAGAAAGCCTGATTATTTCCCCTTCCTCAATGTGCAATTATTCCAGTAAATGGCTTCAGGTACATTTTGGGACAGCTGAGAAGATTAATAGTATACAGGCACTTTTTTGGAAGCATAGCAGGGTTTCTTCTTAGAAGGATCTGGCCTCCTCTTTATTTAAGGAGATCTAGGCCTATCCACTGGCTCAAGCTGTGGATTGAGTGAGGGACTGTGACTCTGTTTTGGTGATCCAAGTTTCCAAGACTTCTGTTCACTATCTCTAGAGCTTTCCTCCTATACAAATCAAGTAAGATTTTAGTCAGCTGACCTTATATTTCAGTTCTAGGGTTACCATGATCAATTAGCCAATACTGAAGATCTCAAACTATATGAATACTGCTTTGGCTTTGCTGTGCATTATGGTAACCAGGCACAACTTGCTCGTGGATTGCAGAATCAGCTCTTGCCTGAGAGTTTTCAGCCTACCATTCTCCACAATTTGCCCTGCAGATTTTGCTTTGCCTAGCCAACCCTGACAGTCACTAATTCCTTGCAGTAAGTCTCTTAATACATATTTCCCATTGGTTCTTTTTCTCTGGTGGAGCTCTGACTGATACAGAAGCCATGCTTCCTCCCATTATTTTCAAGCTTTTATTCTCATGTCATTCCCTCATATTTCATTATTTGTCTCCTCATTGTTCAGTAGCAGCCATGGTATATCAAACAAGATCATCTTTAGTGGCATAAAATTGATTAATGTCTTATATCAAAAAGAGATTTATTGTTCTCATATAACTATTAGTCTAAAGGTGGCAGTCCAGGCTCATTCCTCAAGGGAAACTTCAAGGATCAAGGTTCCTTTTAACCTGCTACTATTATCCCTAGGACATGGTTTTCCCACTCTTGATTTTAAGGAACTAGCAAAGTTCTTCTAACCTTTTCTCTACAGCTTTGTGCCTGGATACTAGCAGGAAGGAAGAGGAGGAGCAAAAGTGGAAGGTTTGTGCCAACTAGTTCTTATCCTTTTTAATGAGGAAAACAAGAGCATCCCTATTCTGCTCTTATCTCACCGAGTTCCATGGCCATTCTGAGCTGCAGTAGAGTCTGGGGAGGTGAGTATTTTTTATTGCGCATATTTTCTTCCCAAACAAAAATGGGGTTCTCTATGGAAGGAAGAGATGCATAATGGATATTGGAAGTTCCTACTGCTTGGGATTTTTTTCTTTTCCGAGTTTGTATGTGTTGAAGTTGTTGGATAGACACAAGAAGCAGATTGAGGGATCTGCGGAAAGGGAGAGGAAGAGGAGGAGGGGGCTGTCAGAGGAGTAATGGATGCTAGGGGAATGGATTCCCTCCAGTTTTAGTAAATGTACGTAATTTTCACTGGGTGTAAACTCTCATTCTCTTCTTAAGAGAGAAGGCTTGGGAGGTAAGGATTCCTTAAACTTCAAGCCATTTCTGCTGCCTTTTCTCTCTGAAAGAACCTCTTTTTCCCCATTATTGCTTGCTGAGTCTTATGAGGGTTTGCTTTGGCCCACGATACCTGTTTGGTGATCTTGTATCTTCTCTGTCAACAACCAAAGTGACTTCTTTGGGTTTGGGTTTCCATTTTTCCATTCCTTGGAGACATTGTCTCTAAATCTGCTGTCAAAGTAAGAGAATGACTCTCAGCTTACGATTTTAGGCTGAGTAGTTAGGAAGGACAGAATTTATAACATCAGTGAAAGAGTTACTTTCAGGCAGGTGGAACTTGGGAAGATACCAGGTCATACTATACAGAAGTTTCCTACTTGGCCTAAACACAGATGTTTTGGCTGTGGAAATTCTCCTTAAACTCATTCTAGTGTCACTGACTATCCAGGTCCCATCTGAACGCTTCCTAAATCCCTGTGGAATAAACTTTGAACAGGGTGGCCTACCCTGCAGAAACCTCTGTCCTATGGTCATCACAGTATTTAATTAACAAGACATCAGCTGCACTGAATATTAGTTAAGTGGCAGGCCTTTCTGCCAACAACTTATTAGCATGCCATCTTCTGACGCTGTACCAGAATAGAACATTGATTATTTGGGGGCGGGGCCGTGGTAGTTAACACATTTGTTATGTGCAACTCTGTACTGTATCCTCTAGTATATCTTATAACTCATACATATATAAATTGACAAACTGACAGGATGAAACTACGGAAGCTACTGCACCATAAAGTTTCTGCATCTAGACTAATAATGAATATGGTGAGATAAACCTGGTGTCACAGTTCATAAACTATGTAGAAAATAATGTTAATTTCTCTTTTGCTCCAAGATAAGTATTGCTAGTCTCAATGGAAAACTATTCAAATTATCAGGGTTTCTCCTTAGATTAGTAGGTTTTAATAATTTAAGTCGTATCTTTGATTTCTAAGCTGTCTCCATGGTAACCTAGTTGGAAGTCTTCGTGGCAACTAAGTGGGTGAGAACATGTCCCACGGCCACTTTGACTTGTGAAAAACTGCCAATAGCTGTTTATTCTTATCAGACACAGAGCGTCTCATTAGAGCTGAATTATCCCCAAAACTTCATACTGAAGAAGATTTAGACCCTTCCATTTCAGGATGGGGGACTCCTCTGCTCTCTGCCTGACATGATACCACCTACCCCCATGTCCCACCCATCCAGCCCATGTTTTCTATTGTGGTACGACCAGTGTCCAAATTCCCTGATTCTGCTGGAAATTCAAACTTCTCAGAGGCAGAATGGCTTGTGATTGCTAATATGGTCATTGTTTGTGACCTTTATGTACCCTCTGTGATGACCTTGTGATTTTCTGCCTTCTCCGGGCCAGGAATATACTTTGTCAGCTGATCTATCACCACATTTGGATAAAGTTCTCTTCATGTTCATGACCCACTTCTGCGTAATAACAACATAAAGTGAAGGAAGAGGAAGGGAGGCTTAGAGCACTCAATTCTTCATTGCCTGCCATCCCATTCTCTGGCAGCTCATTAGACAAGGCTGCCAAATCCCAAGGTGAGATGTCAGGTTACTTTGAAAACTACATTTACTAAAAACTTCATTTGTAACAGACACCTAGGGGAACATAAGAGAGTGTCACAGAACAATTAGCTGACAATATTTTTTTTTTTCTGAATCTATTATTTATCCTTTTCTTGCAACTGTCGGAACATATTTGTTTGGGTAGCCATTTCAAAATGTTGGCAGGAGTTTGTAGAAATCCATTTTTTTAGTTTATCTTCTATGGTGGTCTCATGGAGCAGTTGTCTTGTTCATGTCCTAGAGAGATACAGCCCACAGGAGTTCAGAGAGTTAAGGCTGAGTAGCTAGGAATTCAGGGAGCATTCAGATGGGGCCTGGATGGTCAGTGCCACTAGATTGAGTTTAGGGAGAATTTCTACAGCCAAAATACCTTTGTTTGGGCAGAGTAGGGGACTTCTGTATGGTGTGACCTGGTATCTTCCTATGTCCCACCTGCCTCAAAGTAACTCTTTCATTAATGTTATAAATTCTGCCCTTCATAACTACTCACTTACCTAACTCAGGGACTTCAGGTAAGCTGACTAGGGAAAGTGCAGGATAGGAAATTCTGTCATAAATATATTGTAATACTTCAACATCTCATTTACCATTTCTATCCTCTCTTTCTTTTCTTTCTTCCCACAAAAAATTCTTTTAAAAAATGGTAATTTCTCAGATTTTTAATCTCTTCAGATCAACCACAATCCTGCATTCTGTGGTTTAACTGGCTATGGCAGAGACCACTAGCTGTCTGAGACAAATTTGTGCTCCTCTGTACACAGTGGGCAGCTGCCCAGTGAGACTACACTTCCCAGAAGCCTTTGAATCAAGGCAGGGTCACATGACTAGTTTTCACCAACAGAGTGTGAGTGGAATAATATACTCCTCTTCTGGGCTAGGGTTTTAAGAAATGTTTGTGTATTTTCTACTCTTTCTTCTCTGGATATTTGGCTGGATTCAAAGAACTCTGAAACCCAAGGTGATGGAGGAACCACAGGATGGAAGGTGCCTGAATCCTGAATGACTGTGGGGACAGTTTATAAACATTTGGGCGTGCCATCTCTATCACATAAACTTCTTTTGTCTTCTTTTATTGCTTCTTACCTTCCCATGATTTTCCTGGGCAAATGGCTAATTAGAAGAGTAAGATGAGGTAGAGGGTGAAATAGAGAGATGATAAATTCTGCTTTGGGGATATTAATCTGTGTTGTATGTGAGATGTCCAAGTGAAGATGTCAAGCAAAAATTTAGATATTTGCGCCCTGGTGTGGTGGCTCATGCCTGTAATCCCAGTACTTTGGGAAGCTGAGGCCACTGGAGGTCAGGAGTTGGACACCATCCTGACAAACATGTTGAAACCCTGTCTGTACTAAAAATACAAAAATTAGACAGGTGTGGTTGTGGATGCCTGTAATCCCAGCTACTTGGGAGGCTGAGGCAGGAGAATCGCTTGAACCTAGGAGGCAGAGGTTGTAGTGAGCTGAGATCATGCCATTGCACTCCAACCTGGGCAATAAGAGCAAAACTTGTCTCAAAAAAAAAAAAAAATTAGATATTTGCCTATGGATTTCAGAGGAGAAATGTGGTGAAAGTAAAAGTTTCAGAGTCAACAACCTAATACTTGTATTTAGCTCCAAAAGAATTGTTGAAACTTTATAGGGAAAGAGGGTAGAGAATAAAGAAGTGTCTGAAGTTGAGACTTAAGATTCCTCAACATTTAGAGTTTGGGTGGGAATGGAGTTCAAGAAAGAGCAGAAGGAAAAGTAGAAGTGATATCAGGAGAGCATGAAGTCAGAGAAGCCAAGAGAGAAATATTGTTCAAGACGGAAGATGTGGCCACCATTATGAGTTCTACTGAGTGGTGAAGTAGCTATGGGAGCCATTGGTGGCCTTGACAAGAGACATTTCCTGGGATGATGGTTGGAACCTAGACTAGAGCAGATTGAGGAGAGAGCCAGCAGCAAGGCTACAGAGAAAAGGGAGCACTTACACACTATTGGTGGGAATGTAAATCCACTGTGGAAAACAGTTTGGAGATTTCTCAAAGAAGTGAAAACAGAACTACCATTGGACTCAGCAGTCCCGTTACTGGGTATATATCCAAAAGAAAATAAATCAAATAACTTAAAACGGAACTACCATTTGACTCAGCAATCCCATTACTGGGTACATATCCAAAAGAAAATAAATCATCTTAACAAAAAAGACACATGTTCTCATATGTTCATCACAATACTACTCACAAAATCAAAGAAATAGAATCAACCTAAGTACTCATCAACCGTGGATTGGAAAAAGAAAATGTGGTAATATATACCATGAAGTACTATAGAGCCATAAAAAATAATGAAATCATGTCCTTTGCGACAACATGGATAGAGCTGGAGGCCATTATCCTAAGTGAATTTTGCAGGAATAGAACACCAAATATCACATATTCTCATTTAAAAGTGGGAGCTAAATACTAGGTACTCATAGACATAAAGATGGCAATAATAAGGCTGGGCGCGGTGGCTCACGCCTGTAATCCCAGCACTTTAGGAGGCCGAGACGGGCAGATCACGAGGTCAGGAGATCGGGACCATCCTGGCTAACACGGTGAAACCCCGTCTCTACTAAAAATACAAAAAAATTAGCCAGGCGTGGTGGTGGGCGCCTGTAGTCGCAGCTACTCAGGAGGCTGAGGCAGGAGAATGGCGTGAACCCGGGAGGCGGAACTTGCAGTGAGTCGAGATTGCGCCACTGCACTCCAGCCTGGGTGACAGAGCGAGACTCCGTCTCAAAAAAAAAAAAAAGATGGCAATAATAGACACTGAAGACTACTGGAGGGAAGGGGTGAAAGGGGGAAGAATTGAAAAACTAGCTGTTGGGTATATACTCTGTACTGGGCGATGGGATCATCTGTATCCTAAACCTCAAAATCATGCAATATACCCATATAACAAATCTAAAATAAAAGTTGAAATAATGGTGTTCATCATCATTAGCTATTAGAAAAATGCAAATTAAAATTACAATGCAGGCTAGGCCCGGTGGCTCATGTCTGTCATCCCAGCACTTTGGGAGGCCAAGGCGGGTGGATCACGAGGTCAGTAGATCGAGACCATCCTGGCTAACACGGTGAAACCCCGTTTCCACTAAAAATATAAAAAATTAGCCAGGTGTGGTGGCGGGCGCCTGTAGTCCCAGCTACTCGGGAGGCTGAGGCAGGAGAATGGCGTGAACCTGGGAGGTGGAGGTTGCAGTGAGTCGAGATCATGCCACTGAACTCTAGCCTGGGAGACAGGGCGAGACTTTGTCTCAAAAAAAAAAAAAAAAAAAAAAAGACAATGGAATATCACTACACATCTATGTGAATGGCTAAAATAAAAATTAGTGACAAGACCTAATGCTAGCAGGTTGCAGGGAAACTGAATTATTCTTACATTGTTGGTATGCATGGGTGGGAATGTAAAATGGTACAGTCACTCTGAAACAGTTAAGCAATTTCTTATAAAACAAAATATGTATAGTACACCTCAGAAATTTCACTCTTAGGCATTTATTACAGAGAAATGAAAACTTACATGCACACAGAAAACTTATACATGAATATGCATGAATATGCATAGCAGCTT